TGTGCCAGGTTTGATGCTAAGCATAGGGTAAAACCATGAATAAAATACGGTGATGAACTTCTGCAATTTACAGTCCACTAGGGACAGTGGACACTTTAACATAACCAGCAAGTGCACTGACAAGAAGTGTGTGGGATATTTTGGGTATTAGAAATAAGTTCCTGGAGAGGTAATAACTTTCAAGACAAGCATTTTAAAATGAGTAAACGTCAGTCAGTTAAAGGAGGTAGAGTGGGGAGGAAGCATTTCAGGCTCAGGTTGTGGGGGAAAGGGTTGCAGGAGCAAAGGCACAAAGGAGAGAAAACACGGAACTCCAGAGAGCTGGGATTTGAACCCAGGCTTGTTCTGTTCCAAAGCCTGAGATCGACCCTTGGTACTTCATGATTCTACACTAAGATGATTTGCAGGGGTGTCCAACCTGAGGCCCATGGGCCACATGCAGCCCAGGATGGCTGTGAATGTGGCCCAACACAAAATCATAAATTTACTTAAAACATTATGAGATTTCGTTTGTGATTACATGTTGCAATGTATTTAATGTGTGGCCCAAGACAACTCTTCTCTTCCAGTGTGGCCCAGAGGTGCCAAAAGGTTGGACATCCTTGCTAGGGCTTACACAAAGTATTCATCCAGATTCATTAGAGAGGTAGATAATAGTTATTTTGTAGATGAAATAGCAATACTTTATATGTATATGTAAATATGTAGTTATTTTATGTAAATATATATACACATTTTATATAAATTATTTTTTAAAGAAGTTAACATTTCCACTCTCTTCAACATACTAGGTGCCAAACACTGACATATGGCAGACTAACAACACAAAACTGTATCATCAGGTTAACTCTCTCCTCTGCAGACCTCGGAGTAAATCTCGGCCATTCTTTTTCATAACTGTAACTATGAAACTTATTAGGAAAGAGAACGATGTAATTCTGTACTGACTTTTAAAAGAAAATGTCATATTTGCCTATGTCAACTTCTTTGTGTACACTGCATATTCTCAGTGAGCACCACCATAGCAAATATCAATAAAATGACAAGAAAAAAATTCTAATAGCATATGTTAGCTGAGTGTTTTTATGTGTAAGGTCCATGCTAGACAGTGTGTCTCACCTAATAATAAATATTCCAGTGAGGGTAGGTAATGTTATTGTCCTCTTCTTGTAGGTGAGTAAACTGAGGTTTAGAATTTTTAAGTAACTTAATTTAAATAAGAGTGGATAAATATTGGAGCCAGAATTTGAACCCATTGGCCTCTGGCTCCCAAGCTTGCCCTCCTCATCAAGACTCACCTCTTGATATAGGGTATCCACATTATTTATGTTGATATCATAGCTCCTGAAAAACACTACTTTAACACATCACATTGTGAACATGTTGATCGATAAACAAATTTTAGAGTTTATCACCTCAACTACTGCTAATCTGACTCATAAAGAAGAAAGTTTGCCATTGATAAGTCATTGCAAGTAGCTTAACTTTAAGCTTCTGTCACTTTATTCGATAAGAATGCTGATAACTTTTCATTTGTCTGAGTCAATGATTTCTTTCTCTTGGGAAAAATCAAAGACAAGAAACAAATTAGATGCTGAGGCTGATAATCCTTCACAGGAGAACCATTCCCGATGGAACATTCTAACAAAGATAGAGTGTTAGAGCAGCATAAATTTCACTGAGAGTTTAGAGACTTGGGAAAGGGGTTTTAGGAGGCGTTTGGGGATGTGGTGGAAAAGGTCAGGGCCTGTCCAAGAAAAATTTACTTCCTTTGAACACTTTTTACTGCTACCCATGTACTCAATAGCCTGTATTGAAACTGGAATATGCATATATGCCTTAGCTTAATCTGATTATCACATTATGTAGATTGCTCAAAGTGATCGTGCAGCACTCAAAGTATCTCTTTGAATAATAGTTGTGTTGGTATACTTTATAATCTGTTAAATTTAAAAATACTAGTCATTCTCTATGTGTCTTTATACATTTAAGTTAAAGTTCAAGCTCTTGTTGACAGTGTACAACTAAACAGAAACTGTGACTCACCAGGATCCACAATGAATTAAAAGTTCATATGGTTTGCCCTATTTCCTTGACAGATATTTATGACCCTACAAAGATTGGATTATTGACTTCAAGAACCAAGTCTAAAATCAGGATGGAATTTCCAGGGCATTATTTTTATTAACAATAAATCAGTTTCAAAAAAACTTCCTTGCTAGTACCTTTATTTATATTTCTTCCTGAATAGAAATTTATATGAATACTCCTCTTTGAGAGGAGAGTGGGAAATGAGGCTGTTTTAAGTGGAAGTTGCTGCTTGGGAAAAGGAATATTATGTCGTTGCAATCACTTTCTTTACCATAATATAGTATATCAAACTAAAGCTTTTTTTCTGTGTTGCAACCAAAAACTATTCTCAAAGGGAATTTATGAGAAGACTATCTGGACCCTATTAGAAACTGGAGAACTTAGTTTGGGAATGGACAGAGAGGCAGCTCTGGAGCCTGAGTATAAAACCCTGACAATACCAAAAGCCATCTGGACATAATCTTACACATGGATGGAACGGAAACCCACATCTCTTTATTGTTTCCTGCTAACTATTCTGCTAAAGATCATTGTCTTTTATCTTCTGCTAAAGACTGAAATTCTAGAGAACACTAGCTTGGTATTCACCCATCTGTCTAGTTAAGGGGAAGCGCAGGGGGCCAGTCTCCTCACTACAGTTCCAACAGACTATGTGTAGTTGAAATCAGAAATTTCTCAAACTATAATGGGATTCCAGATATGAAATGGACTCTGGACAACGAAAAAACAAAACACCTTTTGCGTGAGGGAACGGAAGCTAGGGTAAAGCTAGGAACATGGCAAAAACAAAGTAAGCCTTTCTTCTTGTTTTACTTAGAGGGTGGGTTACGGTTATCTCTTATTATAAGCTTTAAAAACAGAGGCTACAAAAGCAGGTAAGCTATAAGGGCTTGAGCACTAAGTAAAAAGGTAGAATTATCTGAATCATGATCTTATTCCAAGAAAAAAGATGACAACATTAAAGCCTAGATAGTAATTTAAAAGAAATATAAAACAATATAACTCTTATCATTGTTAGTATTGCTCTAGAAATTTCTGACTGAATAAGAACCAGGGAATATAAATAAAAATCATAACTATTGCAAAGGAGATAAAACTAACATTGCTTGAGGATAATATGGCTAAATATAGTGAAAATCCAAACAAGCCAACTGAAAAGCTAAAATAAATTTTTATTGTATGCCAACACTAATGGTTACATAGAAAATACAATGCTTTAAGAAAAGATTTATTTACAGTAGATAAAACACACATCCTAAAGGTACAAAACACCTAAGAATAATCTTAAGAGGAATGTGTAGGAACAAATGAAGAATACCACAGAAACTTGCTGTAAGGTATAGAAAAATGTCTAAATGGTTTTATTCCCTTTGTAAAATTTGACAAAAGGATCTTACAAGTGAAAAATTGTCAAGGGAGTTTTTGAAACAGAGTGATTAGGAGAAACTTGTCTTACTCTATATTAAATGAAAAGATAACTCAGAATGTTTTTTAAATGGACTAGAGCAAAAATCTAGTCAGATCAGTGAAAGAAAATATGTAGCCCAAAACAGACTATAATAGATGAAAGGATTTGACAGATCCTCAGGAGATCATCAGGTCTGTGAACAGAAATTCAGGAATGTGAACTTTAGTTTCATTTAAAATTAGCTGCCTAACTCAAACATACTCATGAGCATACGTCACTATTATTAAATAAATAAATCCAAACCCCTGATACAACCAACATGAAACAGCCTGTGTGAAGTCTGAATGAGAAACAACTCAATTGCAAATCAATGCTGATAATTTAGAATGTCTGCCCACCTACCCCCTTTTCGGGGATCTTATTTGAAACCGCCGTTTGTTCTCCTTTTTGTATATACCATTCTAATAGGCACAGCACACCCGCTCTGATGGTACCTCTTGTTTCGCTGCTTTGATGAGTGACAGCCTCTCCTTTGGTGCAGCCTGGAGCCCAGCAAGTGAATTTGTTTTATTTGGTATAGTTTATATTTTGAGTCCTACCTTAGCAGGTATAACCTTAAAATATGGTAAAATCCTTCCAGACACTTTCATGAGCTGCTGGAGCAGGTAACAGACAGAAACCTGATTTAATTTCTATTTTTTTAAAAAGGAATTAAAAACACCTAAGTGGTCAACAATAGAGAAGTGGTTAAAAAAATACCTTTGTACACCCATGTAATGTAATATTATAAAGCCACCAAAAGTGATGTTTTTAAGAATTTTTAATAATATAGTTCTTTCGGGAAGTGAGCTCTGTGATATTTTTATTTTTATGATGTTTTATTTTTATTTTTCTCTTTGTTTCCAAATTTCTACAAGTATGAGAATCAGGAATACCTATTTTAAAAAGATGAAAATCAAGATATTTAAGAATTAGAATACAAACAGTAAAAAATATTTAAAAATAAACATAAAAAGAATTAGAAATATATTAATAAACTTGTGATAAATAACAAAGTATGTATAAATAATTATTTAATAAATAACATTCAAGTGTACTTCTAGTTAGTTTTACAAAAAAAGATACATATTTAAGCAAATAAATGACAAACTCACACTAATTTGCATTTCCAAATGCAGCCCCATAGTTTCTACCACTGAACAACTGAGTGAAGGACCACTGTCAATTTCATGGCAGTTCATGAAAGAGCTGGAAAAGTTTTTTTTTAAATGTAGAACCATAAATTCTGAACTTGCAAAACTTCATATATATAGTAAGAATGACAAAGATCATATCTACTACATTGCAAGTGGGAAGCAAGATATAATCATCACATCTCATTATACAGTCTTTAAAATCAAATAATTGATAAAAGACCCTGCAGTTGGTACATGTGGTTGTTTATGCTGTGTTTATAAATACAATCACCAGCTGTTTGGCAAAATAGTAAGATATAATAATTCTATGGATTTGATTCTAGAAATAATTTATACCTCGATGAATCTCTTTGGAAAATTTTACCAAATACAATCATCTTCAGTGCTCTTCTGAACCAGGGATAGAAAAATGCATAAACCATTGGATTAAAAGTGGAGTTCAAATAGCCAAACCAAATCAATGCATCATTCAAGGTGAGTGGGATGGTATAGTTCAGGAAAGGATTCATGGCCATGCAAACAAAGAAAGGACACCAGCATATTAGGAAAACTCCCATCACAATCCCTAAAGTCTTTGCAGCTTTTCTTTCTTTGCTTCGTGAAACTCCATTTTTCTCTTCCAATCCAATCTGAAGCTTCTGATTGGCATCATTAATTGATCTTGCCTGCCCTTTAGCTATGAAATATATTCTATAATAGACACACAACATAATAGATCCAGGTATATAAAAAGAAGTCATAAAGGCCAGTACCCCAGATGGTTTGCTAAAGAAGACAGAGCATCCCCCTAAGCAATGAATGTGTTCACAATACATCTGTTCAGCTCCTTTGAAGTTTAGCTCTAGAAAGATCATTCCAAATGCAAAAAGAGCAGGGATGCTCCAGCTAATGAATATCATCACGAAAATAACCAAGACACTGATCTTGGCTTTGTATCTCAACGGGTCACACACAGCATAGTAGCGGTCAATAGAAATGAAGGACAAGTGGAAAATGGATGCTGAGCTCAGCATAATATCAATGCTGGTGTGAATTTTACAGAAGGCTTCTCCAAAATACCAGCAGTGCTCAACAGATCTCACCATGCTATAAGGCATGACCAGGCACCCCAGCAGAAAGTCTACTATGGCCATGGAATGAATGAGCCAGTTAGTTGGGGTATGAAGTTGCTTGAAGTGTGATATGGAAATAATAACTATCAGATTGCCAACCATTGTGGTCAGAATTATGAGCACCATTAAACTATATAGGGAGGCACGGACATCATTTGACCAGCTGCTTCTCACACAGGAAGTATTGATTATATTGTGGCAAAAAGACATCTTTCTTGAGGGCTATCTGCCAGTTTAGTTTTTCCTTGGTGTCTTGATCTTCCTCCAAAATCCCAGTCAAATTACAGTTCCATCTTTTATTTCCATATATTTATCCCAGAAACCTGGAAGAAAAAAAAAGAGTGAATCACTGGCAATTTGATTGCTCTTACTTCTAATACATTTTACCTATTCTTGCTGAAAAATAGTTATTTTGGATAGAGCTTTTATTTTTAATTTAGTTCAATGGTTTAGTTTAATAACTTTTAACATCTCCTTGATGCCAGACACTGCTAAAAATGAAAAGCTGAATTAATAGGTTGAAATTTATAAAACTGCCACTTTTGTAGGTCAGAGGTCAAAAGCTGAATTTTTTTCATTTGCTTTAATCTAAGGAAATAGTCTGCACAAAGGAAAGTTTTGTGAGAGAAGTTTACATTCTAAAGGGGAGATACAAATTGCAAGGAAATTTAGAATTGAAATATCTTAGTAAAAATAAAGTGAAATATTTTAAATGTGCCCCGTCTACAGAATATCTAGTAATGCTTGCTTTTGTACTTGATCATATGTAAATATGTTTTTATTTTACAAGTGATTATAACAGAAAGAAACATACGTACCTTTACCTCCAGTTTGCAAAGCACTTATACATGAATTATTTCATTTAACATTTTAACATCGGTAATATCAACATTATTCCTTACAAGGAAGACATGACATAATTTTACTGGTAAGATTGAGGCGTAGTTCACAAAACCATTAAAGTTGGAATATGGCCTGATGTCTCAACTTCTAGTACAGCTTCTTTTTTATTAACCCAGTTTTGGGTTTGTTTTTTTTTTTCACTGCAGAAAGATCAACTCCGATAAATGATTTCAAGAACTCTGAGCTTTGAGCTTTCACGTAAGAATGTAGAACGACTTGAATAATGGCACCTACTAGTGAAGTGTGGTATTGTGGTCCAAATTATTAAGGATTTTAAACACACAGACCGAGGTGCACAGCAAGTGATGCGGCGGAGAGAAGAGCGCTGTGACAGGAAGCCCAGGGAACCTGGGCGTCCGCGTGCGCTGCGGGCCTGGCCTTGGAGCCCTTTTTGTTTCTATTTAGCTCTAAAACCCCTTAAAATTTTTTTCCCATGTGACCACAATTTATAAACCATATAAAAATAGAATCTTGTTAAACAGTGATACCTTTCTTTACTAGGCCTCCTCCTCATGCCTCACTGAAGAGCATCAAAGCTCCATGGGACCCAGTTTAAAAATGTCCCTTTTGTTTCTACAGGGTTTCCTAATTACCAGCTAAATGACTGAGTTTGCAGTATATTTTGCAATATATATAGTATTCTAGACATATATCCATTTTATATACATACATACACACAGACACACATACAGAGAGAGAGAGAGAGAGAGAGAGATGATTTTGGAGGAAGAATCTAAATTTCTGGCAATCAGTGAACAACATGACATTATTTTGTGAAAATGCTAGAAAATAAAACAAGTCTTAAAATTCTAGGAGCCTGCCTTCCTTTTCATCTCTTCCCATTCCCTCTGGACTGACAGTATAGATCAAGACCAAGTGGAAATTTAAATTTATCCAAAACTAGAATTGAATGAATAGAATATTTAGGAACTAAAATGCATACTTTAATAAATTTAAAACTTTTCTCCCATTACTGAAAGAATGATGACCTTTTTTTACTAAGAAATTTAAGTGTGCACTCAACTAAACTTTACCAGTTAAGTTAGTAATCTTCTACTTAGATATTTTTCTCAGTCTTTTCCTCTTTTCCTTCTTTTGTTTACTTGTACAGTTGACATATTAAAGAAACCAAGCAGCACACCCTAATCACTGTTAGAAGTGTTTGCTAATTAATTACCACCAGTCAAAAAAATCATTCCTACCTGATATCATCTTGCATAGATTCATTTGTTCAATGGAAACTAGGGGCCAAAAAAAAAAAAAAAATTAAGGGAAAGTGGAGGAAAGCACTTGTTCAATTTTAGAAGACTAACTTCACAGAAGATGAAAAATAATTTGACAACGTTGTATTTTTGTTTTTTGTGTATTTAAAAATGTTAAGTTCCAAGATAAAAACCAATCAACTCAGAAGCTTCCCCCTCATATTTTATAAACTGATTTCATAGCAATAAGACCTTAAACGTAGTACCTTAGAAATTGTTAATATTAATGACACTTCAAGAGAATAATTTTCCTGCTCAACTTTAAGAATGTTACACATTATTGTTGTATGTTTTTAAAATGTTTTAATTTGTTTTAGATTTACTTATTTAAATAAGTACCCTATGATGATTTCATGAGTTGAATGCTTACCTAAGAACAAGATATAATAGTTGGTTTTATTTCTTTTCTACCAGCATTAGAAGTTAGCTAGCTAAAAATTATTATTATCTGTATATACAAATTATCCCATTGAACACACAATAGTAATATGGAAAGTTAATAAATCTCTCATTGATTATCTAGCTAAGCAAACATTTCTGTGCAAATGATCTGATCACCTGATGTTTGAAAATGACATGTGAATTAGCAGTATATTGGTAGGAGTTAGAGTTTTAAATAGATCTGGCTAGCAGGATAAAAACTTGCTGGTACAGTGCTCCCAACATCCCAATGACAGACCACCCGCACTAATCCCACCGTGCCATTTTGTCCCTGCCTTCATCAAGCATCCATGTCTAATTGCTCAGTCTCTCATAACCATCCTATTGGACACAACCTCTAACCTGAACCCATCACCTAATGGATCATTTCTCACAAAACCCTCCCAAGGGTGCCCTCTGATCCTCATGGTCATCGTCCCTCTTCCTCAAACTCTTTTCTAAGGGCTTCTCTCACTTGGTTCTAACTAAAACTGTCTCTCCTCTGAGGATACTTCATCTCCTAGGGTGGATGGTTTCTCTCCTCATCCCTAGAAGCCCTTTATACCAGTGGTTTTCAACCGGTGTGCTGCAAGACATTTTAAAAGATGCAACACCTGCCTATTTAGTCAGGAGCACTGACCTTTTTTCCCCTAGATTGTCAAATTAAAAAATGACAACAGCCAGCACAACAATAGCCATCTGGTGTAAATCCATCAAAATAATATCAATTTTTTTCACTAGATAAGAAAAAACATATAATATATTTTAGCAGAATTTTAGTAATTAGTTTATGTGTGCCATGGTATGAAAAAGGTTGACAATTGCTGCTTCATACCATAAGACCTGGAGGAAAAGTAAGTGTCCTCTGGTACTCACTGTCATTGCAAATCATTGCCCTCCTTTCTTTTCAACTCCACCTTCTGCAGGCTTGGAAAATCTGCATTCTAACTCTGTCTCCCCCTGATACAGACATCTACAGACTCCCATGCCACTTCTCTTTATTTCTTGAAGATGTTGGCTTCTGACTTCCTGTCACTTCCTCCAAACCTACACTTGTCAAAATTCTTAGTGATTTTTTGCCCACATACATGATCCAATAATGGGCTTTCAAATCCTTAATCCTCTTCTTCCAATAAGTATGTTCTCACGCATTCATGGCCCCACTGTTCTTACAGATGAAGCGGGAAAGAGCTACAAACATGGAGATCTGTGATTTGTGCAAGCTAAGTCATTTTTTTCATCGATATTCAGAGGATAAGTTGTATAAAATATTTTTGGTCTTATAGATGAAAAACAAAAGAATAAATTATTGAAGTATGAAATTTTCATTGGTAAAAGGATTTCAGGTATAATTCACTTCTATGAAAAATATTCTTGTTCTAGAAACATAAGAAATAATAAAAGAAGACAAACTTTCCTGGCTTCTGGAAAGTTATGTATTTCAACAAGCTGAACTTTCTTATTTTTTCTGGTTTCTTTTTTATTTACTTTTAGATTTTTGCCTCAAGCACATAGCTTCTCAGCCAAGAAAGAGAGAATTAGTTCTCCCTTTACCACTTTCATAAAAGATAGAGAATATGAATGAATTCTGTGGAAGGTACAGAGAGCAGTGGGGGTAGCAAGACTAAACTTTCTAATCTAGCAATACCCTACTCTGCATGAGAGGGTTGCTGGCTGCTCTGTGTTCCCATCAGTGTTTCTGGAGAAACAGAAACTTGAAATGTGCTGAGTTCTCCTGTTTTGCATGGCAATCTCACTTCTTTAAGGCTACTGGTAGAACTTGCATTCACAGTCAATACAGTGTAGAATTTAACTTTGTAGTAGATGAGATTTGGTCTCTCCCTACAAATCCAACACTCCAAAATAATATACCTTGAAAGGAATAAAAATAAGGCTGACCTCAAACTTCTGGGAAATACTGAATCCCTTACCTTAACAAAGTAGTATATATAAAGAGATATGAGGAGAAAAATTTGAAACCTAAGAATTTTATATGCAGGGACTATATCTTTATGTAACTGTAAAAGATGGTCTACAATACCCAAGTGCTCATAAATATGCTACCCATGTACCTTTTTTGGAAAAATGAATTGCTTGCAGAGAAGCATTCATAGTTTGTGAAAGGTATGAGAATTAGAATCTCAAGGTTGGAAAGCTAAGCCATAAAAGGACTAATAATTAGCTTTAGGTAAATCAAATATAGAGTTGAGTTTAAAATAATTCTGGCAAATTTTATTTTAAAACTAAGATGCCTTTGATAAAGAGACACATTTCTGAGCTTGAGAAAAGTCATACCATTTAAGAATCAGAAGGAAACAATGTGAGCAGACCTGCCTGTGAAAGAAAATTTCCACCCAAGAGACCAGACGGCCTGATCTTCATGGATGCTGAAAAATTCTGCAACTCTGATGTAGGAATTATCAAGAAAAGTTTGCAGACCATTTAACAAAATACATTAGCAGCACAAAGAGAGCCTGAGTCAACTAGGAAAGGTGGCAGAAAAATAAGAACTTTAAACAAAATTTAGTGAAAAAACCCAAGCAGATCAAATTAGAGCACAGAAACAGAAACTTAAAGAAATTATATCAGATATTTCAAAAATGCATAAAGAAAATGTAAAAGAGC